TCATTCCTGCTATTGCAACGATCATGCCCAGAACAACATGTAGATTGAGACCCTCTTTTCCAAAGAAAATGAATCCTAATATCAAGACCAGAATAGTCTTCATGTGACCCAGGACTTGAAATGTTACAGCCGTGAACCTACCAATGCAGATGAACTGGCTGAGGTTTGTCCCTACTGCGATAGTGCAAGACAGAATGATGAACAACTGCAGACAACAGGAGAAGCTCAGTTTAATAATAGTATTCCAGTAGTCACAGTATTCATTATTATTTTCTTGAGTAAAGGTACACACTGTACAGTATTTATAAAGTTGACATAAAGTGTATACATATTTGGATTCTCTCTTTTTCCTCAGGAAAATGCCAGTGTCATTTTCAAGAGAGAAAGACAAACAAAACGTGCAGAGTGCATGCTCAGGAAACAGTTGGTCCATCTGCAGAATAAATGTTTCTAAAAAAAAGACAGTATTTTCCTAAGGCAAAGGCATAAAATCCACCAAAAAACAAAATGACAGATAGAACATTTGGTTCTAAGGTAGACCAAGGATGAGCACCATAGCAAATTCTGTGCGTGTAGTGAGCAACCAGTTATTGATGAGTACCAATTGTCAAAAATACACTGCTTTTATGAATGAAAAGAAGAGCTACATCATGCCGCTGCCTACCAGTATATATAAGCAAATTTACATGGATGTAGGAAGTCTTTCATGCCTTTTAAATGTATAAGGATGTCTTCAGTATAGGGATAAAAGAAAATTTACATGGATGTTAGTGAGTTTTTCATGCATTTTACAGGCACAGTATGGATAGGCACGATACTAATCATTTTTAGCATTAGTCTCAAGTTATGAAGCACGGATACTTCAATTTGCTTCACGTATCCGTATCCGATACGATACTCTTGGATACTTCACCGATACGTGTCAATGAAGTATCCTAGCCTTTAAAAATATTATAAAAATTTTATTCAATTTTGATACTTTCAGATACTTCACCGATACTTATTAGTGATACGTATCAATAAAGTGTTCAAATTTTTGAAAATTTATGAAATACCCATTACAGCTAAATAAGATATATAAACATGTTTAATATAAAAACTAAAACTATTGGTCCTTGATGAACACGTATCTTACAAGTATCGTATCCTATATATTTTTAAATAATCGTATCGCCGTATCGGATACGTGTCGTATCCGATACGCGTATCGTATCGGTGCATCATAGGTCTCAAGCAACATTGTAGACAAAGGAAAATATTGTAGCAGTATCACTGGCAAATCGGGGTGGGATGAAATAAAAATCTCCAATAAGTCATAAATGGGACATACGATACATACAAAAATAGGGGAGTGGTCTACACAAACAATATTATATAAATCTATTTAGAATCTTCAACATTCACTGGAAACTACAAAAAAAAATTAATGATTCAAAAAGATAGTTACTCCTTCAGACTATACATGATAAACAAATTTGATAGATCTTTCTTAAAGAAAATTTCTCATAACATGTTTCATATTTTAAACTAGATTGGTCACATTAAGAATACAAAGAACCAAACATTCAGTATCTAAATGAATTAAAGGATCAGTTAATCTCCCGAGCAGCACTAGTTTGCACAAAATACAGAAATAACTGTGGCACTTTTCAGAATTACTTTCTTGTCTAAACAACATTTTGGAAGAGGAGAAAATTAGAAACAAATGTGCGTTAGATTTTACATAGACATGCTATTAGTTGTAAGGCTAAAAGTCAACCAAATATCCGCTATATGGAGTAAAAAAAGGGAATGGTAAAGAAACATGCATTTGTTAAGAACGAAACTCCACTTCTTTAAAAGAAACTGAAAGGGTAATTTCACTCTAAAAAGAAAAATGATGTGCATTAATAGAAGTTATTTGGATTGTCATGACACTGATCTTCAAATGCTATTTTAGCTGACCCAAAGCAGCAAATATGGAGTTTTGAAAAACACTTAATGGAAGGAAACTTCTAGAACTTCTAGCTGAACTTATAAATTGAAAATGAGATGGTTGGAAAGCAGTATAAATTAGTTAAGACTTAGTCTTGGTCAACCAAAGGATTCTTTCTCAGTGTCTCTAAGCAAGCTGACACTGAATTTAGACAGTAGAATTTGACACCCAGTTACATAATAAGCAATACGTAGGATATTAACTTTTATAACAAACAGGAAATTCACCATGCAAGAAACATTCAAGATTAGTACCTATGGTTGCAAGTTATTTTAAATTTCTCTTTATTGGAAAAAATCCATGTCTCACATAGATTAGAGATAAGGCCAAAATAGAGTACATTAGTGAAGAGCAACCCTCACCTTACAAATCAATTTTGTAGTGTTGAGTTAGGCCTAAACTCACATTTTAAGATGATATCAAAGTCTATTCTAAATCTATTAAAAATGCCCACCCACCACCATATTATCTATGCATCAAATTTAATAGTATTGAAAATGTATAGGAAAAACCCAAGTCTTACATTGACAAGGGATAAGAGCAAAATAAAGTATATAAGTTGGGGATAAACCTAAACTTATTAGTAGGTTTTGTAGGGTTAAGTTGAGCTCAAACCCACATTCTAAGACTCACCAAAAAATTAAGGCAGCCTAAACGTCATATAAATAAATTTATTAAGTCTCTTCTCATCCTCCTCACAACAAAACATTTTAAAGAAATACTAGAAAAGAAATAGAGAAACTTACTGTGGATGTGAAACCATAGTCGTAGGCATCAACTCGTTTGCCTGTCAAAAAATAGTCCAGAAAAGGACCTACTAGCAGTAAACTGGCTGCCTGTGCCGGTGCAGTGTGGCCCAACAAGTTAAATGACCCAATAGAATATTTTCTCTGAAGAAAATGCACATACTGTACAAAAAGTTATGTTAAATATCAGCCCAACAAGATTGATTGAGGTCATGAAACCCAAATAAAGCCAGAAGGAATAATAAGAAGCATTGTGAACTAAAGCATGTTATTGAAGTCTGATCTAGAAGACACACCCGAGAATACTGTGTAATAAAAATGAAGAAAAACAAAGAAAAAATATTGCAGGCTTCCCAATTTTTCATTTTAATTTTTATAACAAATCTAATTAATTATTACATGTATGAATGTTGCCAACAAGCATCATAAACCAGAAAGTGAACATTTACCAATCCGGACCTGCCTTTATGACACAATTCAATTTCATTGGTGACTCAGGCTTTGTTGTTAGTGTACATTACTTACATATTGTTGCAGGGCTGTGCTCCAAACTGCAATTACAGCAGCCACGAAACCCTTTGTATTAACACTGACATCAGTCACTGTACAGACAGCAACGCCAAGCAAAACCAAAACAATACTAAGCTTTGTATCCCTTGAATATCGCACATTGTCCAAGACAACCTCCAGGAAACAAGATACTGGAATCATGCTCAGCTTAGCAATCTGACAATTTTATTTCAAGGAAGAATTATATAAATATTTATCTTTATTATAGAGAGTTCAAAATGTTAAAATATTACTAAAAGCATAGAAGTTACCTGATAGAAACCAACAGAGTTCCACATTAAACTCACATTCATTCCAACAATGGAGAAATTCGCAAACAGGACAAATTTGATTATATCAGAGAATGGAAGATGGGATGTCTGGATATATCCCAGCGATTTAAGAATGAACGTCAACAAGGTTGTCGTGGCAAAATGCAGACCAGTTAAAGTTGTAGCTGCATAATAGCATTATATGATATAGAATGTCAAGCTTCAGGAGTAGTCCAGAAGTTCAGAAGCAATAATCTGTAGCCTTACAAGTTAAATCAAAAGAAACCATAAACCAAATTATTCTTTGGTTGACTAGTTATAGAATAGATTTTTAATCTATCATCCAATGCTATTTTCAGTACTTTAATGCCATTTTAGTTGTGGGATATATGAATCACAATACTTCTGTTATCAATCTCAGCCAAATAAAAAAGGCAACGAAAAGTTTGTTTTAAAAAAGCTTTCCTAGGGTAAACTTGAGTGCCTATCTTGAACATCATCACAAATTTTTGGATGAAAAAAAAATTCGCAGATTTTGCTCGTATTTTTGGATTTAACATCACTAATACAAAAAGTTTGCAGACTGTACTACCTCAGCTTGTCATCTAAATGCAGACCTTTTCCTCAGATTTTCTTTCTAACCAAACAATATAATATTGCTTACAGCATCATTGATGCTAATTTGTTCCCGATTCAACTACCACTAAGACATAATGGATGCTTCTTTCAAATGGTAGGAAAATTTTATAATGTACAGTTGTACACGTCAATAAAAGCCATACCTAATCAATACATCAACTTAAAGTATTCCTAATTTAGCATAACTTATATTTAGAGAATGAAATTAAAGTCAGGAGTAAATCATTTAAAATATTATATTATAGTTTGTTACCAACCACCATGTCAAATGCCATCCTATAGTATATTTTCCAGTCCATTTCCAAGCTACATCATAACTCCAGTTTATTAGGTCATTTTATAGTTAGCACTATCGAACCACATCCTCAATGATCCAACCTGAGATACTAATGTTGAAAAATCTGAACGACACTAACAGATAATATCAAAGTGAAATTAAGCTCGTAAAACACAACTCTATTTTACCAAAAAGCTTTCTCCTTCTTTAGTCCTCCACATATAGTAAAAAATATGGTAGTTTATCCAAAAAGGCATGCACAAGATTGATAGTTTATCCAAACAACTCGTGGAAAAGAAGCATGACAATCAAAGGCATGAGAAATCAAAGATTCAAGAGAGGGAATGGGAAAAGTCAAGATGAGGCATACCAAAACTGAAACCATACGTAGCCATCAAGGCTTTATTCACAAGGATTATTCCCACAGACGTGACCACGTTGAACAACCACGATGCTGCATCAAGGGAGGCCTTCCTATCACCCTTGCTTACAGAAGACATATTGAACTAGAGCTTCCAATTAACAAAAACTGAATTCCTCACTACTCCGCCTTCATGCAATAAAATGTATCACTAGTTTCAGAATCCCACAGCTTTATCTGTAGAGAGAAATAAATCATCAGAAGAAGCACGTATTACTATATACAGAATAAAATCCTCACGCTGCTTCACATTTCACACAGAGGAAAAAAAAAAAAAAAAAAACGCAATCGAGCATAAGTCCAAATCCAAGTAAACAGTAGGAGTTTATATTAATATATAAGGAGATTTACTAACAAAGGAAAACAACAAGAAATATGAAAATCCAATCCTCACTTCATTGATGCCTCCGTCCAGAGAGTTGACATCAACAGCAGAGGCTTCTACTATATATAGATATATATAAAGTTAGAAACAATTGAGTCATATCTGAGTTTCTTATGAGAAACTCCTTGTTTTATTGGTCAAAACATCCTAAAAAAAAAGGCGTAAACAAAAAATGAAAAAGAAAACAAACAAGTCAAGGTTCCAAGGACAGAGACATGGACATTGAAGTTCACGATATACAGAGCGAACTAAGAGTAACTATAACAAAAATCCAGCATCTCAAAGACACGATTCAGCTAATAAAAAACAATAGCAAGCGAAATCAAACCAGAATAGCACAATTTCATCAGATCCATTACTCTTCTCTACAACATAGAGAAATTGACAGCAGATTCGAGCTGGGAAGTGAACCTAAATCACGAAATTGCAAAATCTCTGGAAGCAGAAGAAAACAAGAGGAGCGAAAAGCAACGGATCCGCGATCCTAATTAAGGACTGCGGCGTTAAGAAAGCATAAGAATCCGCAAAACAGAGGAATCTTAAAAGGAGGAGCGAAAGAAAGAGGCGTTAAACGACGCACCGTTTTGGTGGTGGCTGGTGGTTCTGTTTTCGTTGGTCTTATTTGGGGGTTTTGTTTGTTTCCGTGTTGCGTTGGGTTTGAAAGTGGAAAATGGTGCGTGGGGTGGCTGCTTTAGTGACGTCCAGATTCAGTGACCGAGTTGCGGGGAAAGCAGCAACAACTGCAAAGTAAACGGCCTGTCATCGCCAATAAATACTACTAGTCAACCTCCCTCTCAACAATCACCATTTTATACTCTTTTTTACTATTTTTATAAACTAAATAACATTAATTACTTGGTACTATGTTTAGTCGGGGAAAAATGATAGCCCATCAGAAAGGTGCTAAAAGAGTTGGATGCCATTTTTTTATTATTTTATAACTCCAATTGTTAGAGTTTACCTAAATTTTATTTCAACAAGAGTATATGAGTAATTGTAAATATTTGGATATCGAATTTAATTATGATCATAAATAATATGACCGATTAAATTTATAATTTCTTTAGTAAAGAAAAATTAGTGAGAAATGGAAAAGTTAGAGAGTTACTAGATGAGAAATGAATTTTTCTTCTTGTTTAACTGCATGGAAATAGGAAAAAAAGGGAATAGAAAGGTGTGAAAATAAAGAGAATGAAAGCACTTTGTCACACCATATATAAAAGTTAACTTCTTTTTTTTTTTTATAAAGACAATATATATTTTTTATTATTAACAATTATGTTCAAGTAAGATAGAATTATTATAAATGATAAAACTCTCTTTTCAAATATTTAACATAATTATATATAATTTGAATTCAAGATTTTTAATTAAGTTAAAATAAGCTCATACTAATTAATTCATGTGTTCATCAAATCAAATATAAAAATTGATTTTTTTGGTTCATGAACATAATACATGTATTGTTTTAATGTTTTACTTGTAAAATATGATTTTTATTGATGAAATATTATTTTAACAAATAAAAATTGATTTTAAAAGAGTATAATCAATTTTAACAAATAAAAATCGATTGTAATAAATGAAAATCGATTAAAAAGACATTTTTTTTTCAAATTAAGCATCTCTATTAATTCTATTTCTCGTTTATATTTATTTATTTTCTTTTTCTGTTCATTCTATCTTTAACTTTTTGTTTTCTTCTCCCCGAACACACTTTTAATATTTAATAATTAATTGTAGCTTGAAAAGAATTATCTCGTTTTTGGTACAGAAAATACCTATGAAGAAAGAGGATAAAAAAAAGTGTTGTTTTCGTTCTGTTTGGTGCGAAAATTTGGGTGTCTTTTCAATTGGTGTGAACGTGAGTGTTCTAAAGCCGGACCTGAAGCTTTTTTTTTTTTCTTCTGGTTCGTGCCTGGAGTATTTAATACTCAAAGGGTGGATAACTGGTCCCAAGATTTAACGCGGCTGCATACACAAGGCAGGATTCGAACCTCTGACCTTGCTTAAGCGTGGATCAACCCCTACCGCTAAAGCACATGCTTGGGATTAGTTGTGTAGGGTGTTTAATTGAGAGATTCAATTTTTTTTAGTCTCTCATATGTTAAGAAAAAAAAAATTACTTAGAAGGACTCCTAATTGTACATATCTCAACACTTTAAATTCATTTTATATTATAATTATACTTGTCATCTCTAAAATCATACTATGTACTTAATATAATAAGATGTACAATATTTTTAACAAAGTTACATGTTTTTTTTATATTTATATTTAAAGAGTTTTAATTTAGTATTTTGTCTAGACTCATAAAATGACAATATGATTATGTGGGGTTTAATTTTAGGTTCTCCCCGTCCTGGTCTATCTGGGGTTTGATTATCTACAAGAAATTATTCTCTTCATTTGGGAATCAAAGTGCCACTTATGTTTTACGTGAAGAGTTCATTTTGTGGTTAGTAATGAGTTTTCAGATGAAAAAGAATTAGTTGCTGTGGGTCGATCATGTAAGCATCACCGTTTTCTTTTACTACTTTTAAACACGTCAAGTATCGCAAATAATAAGGATGAGACTTATATATAGTTTTTCTTACTTTTTAAGGTGCTTTTAAAATTTAAATCAAGTTTCATTTAATAAATATTTGGATGATATGTTAGTATATGTAACCGACATAAAACTTTAATTTTAATTAAAAAATTCTATATAAAATTTGTCCAAACAAAAATAGAGAAAGTATCTTACAAAACAATCGATATATCTTACAAAAATAAAGTCCAAAAAAAAAAGTATCATGTAACTTAAATTGTTGAAATGTTTTCTTCATAACATTTTTCACTCAATAATATAATTTTTATTTTTAGAAGCTTATTTCAGTTATTTGTATTCATATTCTATGGTTATTTATTTTCTTTTCATTATTTTTATATAAAGTAATGTTATTTTGTACATTTTCTCTTTCTCTCTCCTATTATATATGTTACTCTCTTTTCCATCACTTTTTTTTTTCTCTCATTCGTTTTTTTTAAATTAAATTTTACTTGAAACGTTGTTATGTACTATATTTTGACAATTCCCCAACGAAAATATGAATTTTGATTTGTTATGTAATGAAAAAGTAGTTCTTTTCGTTAGAACTAACCTTATTATAACTCTTTACAAATCTAAATTAGCTTAAATCATATTAGATTGAATTCACGAATTGTGTGTTTTTTTTTTTTTCCATTATGAAAGAGTTCCTTTTTGTCAAATACAAAGGTTAATTTTTTTTTTTAAGAATTTGGCAGACATCAATTGGATAAACGTATTTTTTTAATTTAAGTTTTTTACATTAGTAAAAGTTTGATCACTTAATTAAATAATATGAGTTCCTTTCCATTCACACGGATATATATTGAAAGAATCATGCATTTTATTACAACTTTACAAAAAGTAAATCAAAAAGGAAAATTTTACGTTTGACGTTCCAAATCTCATCTTTAGTATTTGGGACAAATACTTCCTCATCATATTTGTTACATTTACACCCTAATATAAGTGTGTTTGCATTGTATTTGTATGAACGTGGCAAAGGATTAAAGAATACAAGGTACAAAACTGACAAGTTATAGATTGGTAGGTTGTAGAGGAGATTCCTTGAAAATCATAAGTACGTAGTAACCACCACATATTGAATTGACTTGTAAATATGTAAATATACTAATTCACAATTTATTGATTTGATTATAATTGGATTACACTTTTATTAAGTGTCGTCGGTTATATATATATATATATATATATATATAT